AAGATCGTTTCAAAGTCGTCAATTGAAGGAGAAAAAAAAAAGAAGGGGGTGGAGATTTAATCGAAATAGTTAAAACTTACTAATTGTTGAGTGCGTTGATAAAATTTTGACTTAGGCCGGACTGTGAGGCTGGACCCCAGAATTGGTTGTTTGAATTAGCAGGAGTGTCCAGAGGACCTCAGGGATCACACTCACTTCGATTTTTGTTACTTGGATTTTTTGATATATATAAATATATATAGCGCACTGATGCGGAGAAGAGCAAGCCGAAAAATTTCTTTAGATTAACTGCATTTCCGCGCTCTCGGCTCTTGAATTTTAAAGTCTTTGCTCCTCCTCCCTTCTGGATAGTGGGAATTTCTTTTAATCAATCAAAAAATTTTTACTATTCCCTTCTTAGGGATCAAGGAGTTAGATTTTTAGGAAGAGAGGATGTCTTAGACCTCTAATTGGTTAAGCCCTTTTTCTTAAGGTTTGGCTTCACCATCCAGTAGAGAGTGGGAGCAACCTGATTTCCTTATCTCCTACGATTTGATTGAGAATGGCCTATTGATCCAGCGCACGTGCGATATTAATTTTATGGCTCTGCTCGTATTTATCTTTTGGTCAATTTCTCGATCATCAAGGCTCTTATTTCAAAGTCCCTGAGACGATCCATTGATATGCATGGATTGAATTTCTTATATTTCCTAGGCTCGTAAATTAAAAAATTTTTATTTAAATTTTCTTAGCGCTATCTCGACTGGCCACTCTGTTTGTTTGTCCGAGTTGGGTTTTCTTTATTTTAAATTCAATCCAATCGTTGATTACTTCTAAGAAACGTTTCGATGAAAGAACAGAATCGTGAAGTCCACCGGACGTAACACTAATAATGATAGAACATTTTTAATGAAGAAAAAAAGGGACACATTTCTCCCATCTAAATATATATTATTTAAATTAATTCGACGTTAAACACACGTATCGTCGTTGAATTACTACCGAAATCATTGCTTTCGGAAATTTTCAGAAAAACCTGGAATTAATTCCAATCTTACAATAAGAATTCCCAATTTTTAACAGAGCTGGACGTCGCGAATGGATCTCATAAAAAGCAGTGAGAAATAATTCTCCATGAAAATCGTTTCGACTCTTCGGCGGTACGAGTCACGCAACTTTCATTAACGTTTATTTAACGGAAGAAACAATGATAACTCTTTAATATGTATACCTCTTTAATATGTATACCTATGTATACCTACTCTACTTAATCGATTCGTATATTATAAAGCGTATAATACGTTTTTGCCTTTTTATTGTGTTCTATAATACGTGTATTAATAGTATTCAGTAATACGCATTGCTGTAGCAAGTAGGGAATGATTTTGGTCTCGTGTAAAGGTCGTATTGCTCTCTTATAATATAATAAAGTGCGTATATAAATTTCGTATGATTATTTCGCGAACGAGTACAAAGTGTGCCACGTACTCCATTAATCATAATTAAATCGTGTATTCGTGAATGATTGAATGCCAAAAGGAAATAACGAAAAATACATAAGAGAGGAAAAAAAATCTGGAATAGCATCAGATGTAACATACGGAGTAAAACGAAGTAAAACAATCGAATTATATATGCAAATAATTAGTATAACGAAAAGCTCCGTGATAAATTGTTTAATAAATAATCAATTTTAATCAATAAATTAAAATACTTTCATAATTTAATATTCTGCGTTAATGTATATTTTATAATATATAAAATATTTCGACAACAAATTATCGATAACACGGCATTCGACTTTGGCAATATAAAATATAAGCAATAGCGCGCTGTGTTATTACTTTGTCATCATTCGCACGGTGACTCTCGAGTAATAAAGTAGTGGTGAGAAACGCTTCGTATATGCTAATTATTTTACTAAACACGATTACAATTAGTATCGAAACATAATTTACTTTAAATATTAATAAAAATTAATTAATTGAAAATTAATTAACGACATGAAACTGTATTGCAACGATAAAACTTTATTGATTCGCAAATATTTATTACCGCGATTAAAAATTGGAACAGGAGATACAAAAGGCCATAAGCAAAATTAATTATGTTACGAACTTTCGATTAATTAATAATTATTATAATATTTTTTTAACAATATTAGAATTAAATATATTTCGACCAATTTAAGTTTTAAATTTTCTCAATCCTTGTTAATTAAACAATATACAATTTAATCGAGAATCGAATAAATGATGATCTAAAATATTAAATCATCACTTCGATCGTTGCGATCTTTCCTCCTCCTCCTCCTCCTCTTCTTCCTCCTCGATTTTTATTTTGCTCCTCCTCCTCCTCTTCCAATTAATTATAATATTATATAATTATTTGGAGTAATCCTTATTAGAACTTATAATTCAAACTATAATGATTTACATCCATCATTTTACTTCAAATTTATATAGTTTACTTGAACCATTATATGTTCATTATAAAAACAATATATAAATAATATTTAATATTCATAAATATGTAAAAGTGTTTGTTTCCCTAATATCTTTCATATGAAACTTTTTAATTTATAAGCCATACATATATATATATAATATTATAATCAATCTATTTAATAAAAAAATTAAATTCCTCCTCCTCCTCCATTTTTATTTTGCTCCCCCTCCTCCTGCATTTTTATTTTGCTCCTCTTCCTCCTCCTCCTCCTCTTTCTCCTCGATTGTTATTTTACTCATTCTTTTCTTGATGGATTTTTATTTATATATTCATTACAACTTGCTTTTATTTTACTCATCATCATCGATTTTTATTTTACTCATCATCATCATAAATTTTTATTTTACTCAGCATCATCTATTTCTAATTTACTCATCATTCAAAAATATATAATATATATATATATATATATATATATATATATATCTTATATAATATAACTTTAGTTAATATTAACTTAACTTAATATAATATACTTAATATATATAATATAATAATATATATATAATAATATATAATATAATAATATATATAATATAATAAAAAATTTTTTAATAGTAATTACTTATTATTTTAATTCTACTATTGTAATTTTATATACGACAGACTTTATTATGCACCAGTGTGCATTAGTGCATCCAATCAAATTCCATCTTTCTCCCGCTATAAATCAATTACTTTATTTCCAAAAAAATGTGATAAACACTTTAATTACGTGAAATATAATTGACTCTATAATTGTGGGATAGTCCTCAATTAACACACACAATAAGGTATAATAACTTTATTTAAAGAATACCTTCCGCACTGGGGATTGCCCAATTACACACAGTACGATTAGACACAGCCAATCATATCGACCGATGTCTAGGGTAACCAGCACGATCGAGCACGATTAGCCAATCAAAGCCAGTTGTGTCCAATTGTACTGTGTCTAATCGGAGGTATCTCTCCGCACTTGCTAACGTTGCTCGCTTGACTGCGCGAATCGAACTGAACTCCTGCTTCCTCAGGACTCGAATTCATATTTTATGCCGCATCCTTTGTGAGGCTTTCCAAAAAGAAAGCTTATTTCCGAAATGAGCCTCACATCTCTCGTTTGACAATTGATATCATTTCGATCGCGTCTTTTGCCGACACATATTTCACACACATACTAACATATACATGCACGCACACACTACATATAACATACGTACATATAACTAATCCTACACTTGGCCGTCCTGCTGTTGATATATGTATATACGCCCCTGATATCAATTTTCGGCGTCACTTTTATCTTCAGTATCTGATTCGCACTTGCTAACGTTGCTCGCTTGACTGCGCGAATCGAACTGAACTCCTGCTTCCACAGGACTCGGATTTATATTTTATGCCGCATCCTTTATGCGGCTTTCCAGAAAGAAAGCTTATTTCCGAAATGAGCCTAGCGGCTCTCGTTTAATAATTGATATCGTTTCGCTAGTTTCGCTGGTCGCCTCCGAACTAGTCTCGCGGTTTCTTAAAGGAAGACTTATCTGCGTAATGAGCCTCGCGACTCTCGTTTGATAAATGATAACATTTCGATCGCATCTTTTGTATTTTTTGCCGACATACATTTCACACACATACTAACATATACATGCACGCACACACTACATATAACATACGTACATATAACTAATCCTACATAATTGTTTCTATATTGGTAAAGAGACATATTACATAAGAATATTTTTAATAATATAAACATTAATATTACAATCTCTTTTTAAATTCATGTATTATAATAGATGTATTTTCAAACATTTTACAAATTTATAAACACTTATTACTCATCAACAAAGATATATATACGTGCACGAATTTTTTCAAAATGATAGACCGTACTTTTATGTGAATATATATTTATACATTATTAACTTTATTAAACAGTTATTGGAGATAAAACAATAAATATAGTTCATTTTCACAACTGCGTACTTTTTTAATCATCAATATAATTTGAATATATAGTAAGTTATTAAATAAAAAGATATAATATATTTATATTCTTATCTCGAATAATGTAAAAAATTCATATATGTTAATTGTTATAAACTCAAAAATAATTATATTATTATATTTATAAATATATTATTATATTTATATATTCACAATTAATTATAGAGGATATTATTCGCGTTTTCTCTTTCACTTATAAGTTTTACAATCAGTTTGTAATTATCGGTCATATATAATGTCGAAAATTAATTATATTACTATGTTCAAAAAAAATATTGTTTAAACATATACATATATATAATCACAATCATAAAATTTCGCTTTGATCACTCAAAAACACAAATTAGATATATCATCATATTATTTGATTTTGTACAATCATGAAAACGGATGTTATATTTTTTAATAATAATCAAAATTGTATGGAAAGTAAGATTACAAAATTTTCATTGATACATGTAACATTAAAACAATTTTCATTGATACATGTAACATTAAAATTAAACCTAAAAATAATCAGATCAGACTCAATTTAGAAATATCCTAGAAATATTTTTTGTACATTAAGATTTATTGAATCGTTTGGAAAATAAGATAAACATTAATTTAAATATATCGGCTAAATAGTATCGACTGGACTTAGTAAGGCATCCTCTATGTTCTTTCTTAATGCTGTAATACTTTTCAGACAAAATTCGAAATTAGGTCTAGCATCCGCTGCACTCCAGCAACGTAGCATCAACTGGTACAAAGATGACGGACAGTTAAGAGTCATCGGTAACCTGCCTCCAGCACGTACATAATTTATTACTTCTTTATCAGTCTTGGCAACATAAGGTTTCTCACCCAACGATGTAATTTCCCACATTAATACCCCAAATGACCAAACATCGCTTTGAGAAGTAAATATTCTGATCATCAAAGATTCGGGTGCCATCCAGCGAATAGGAAACCAACATTCTCCTGTCTAAAACACATGATTTAAACAAAAATTTAATTTTCTGGTTCAAATTGTTCATTTTTAGAATATGTGCAAAATGAAAAACGTTCATTTATCTCTATATATAAATAAAATTCTATATCTGCTATATATAAATAAAAACTATTTATATTCTATATTATATTCTATATTACTTAAAGAAACAATGCAGAATACTATTAGGATAAAAAAAAATGGAAAGTATTTTAAAAAGAATTCAATTTTTAATCATTAAATTTTTTCATAATTGTATTTACCATGCGATAATAATCATCCTTGTAGATATTTCTAGCTAGTCCAAAATCTCCAATTTTGATGACACGATTCTCGCGATTTCTCGAAGATACTAAACAATTGCGACACGCTAGATCTCTATGTACGAAACGCAACTCTTCCAAGTAACAACAACCTCGCGCAACATCTTCGCACATGGCGAGCAAATCTTGTAAACGCAGAGCAGGCGAATCTGACGCTTGCAAATTTCGACATTCTCTCAAATATTTTAACAGATCAGTTTCCATCAATTCCAACACTAGTAACGGAGAATCTCCATCTAAACAAACGGCAAACAATTTTAATATATGTTTGTGTTGAAAATGATTCATAAGCTTGGCTTCCTTTAACAATTTCTCTTTCTCATGGGAAGAAGCATCTTTTCGAAGCGTTTTTATTGCAACGGATATCTCTGTGCCCGATTTTTCTAAATCCTTCACCTTTCCTTGAAACACCTGCAAAATATTTCAGACAAATTTACATGCGTACTTCATTAGAAAATATAGTTAAATGTCAAGTAATATTATATTTTACTTTATATTAAATAATTCAATAAAAAATATATAATAAAGTGCATGCTTGTTGTCTCACGTAAATTTTATATTACTTATAATTTATTATAAAAATTCATGCAATTTATGTCTTTATTAGAAAATATGTATCTGTTTTGTTAATCCAAAAATTAATTTGAAACATTGCTTGAAAAAAATTAATTTTTACCGTTCCGAATGCGCCGCTACCAAGATGTTTTGTAAGTGTTATTTGATTTCGTGCGATTTTAGTTATCGCACATTCATCTAGAGTGTTTCGCCAAGGTACTTCATGTAGAATCGCCAATTCTATATCGGTCATTGTTGAAGACAAAAATTGTTCATTATTACCTCTGCGTTGACGATACACTATTATAAAATTTCAATTTAATTATGTAATAATATGTATTATAAATTTTACTGTTTTTTAGTAAATATATTCGTTTAATTTTATATAAGCAAATTACTATTTTCAGTAAATCTCTAGATATCAGATATATATGTATAATCTACAATTCAAGTCGACTTCTACATCAAATATACTTACAACGATAAATGTAGAAAACGCAGATTATAGGAACTATAACCATGAAACTTAACATCAATAATAAGTCATATTTATTCGCTATTATTCCAGGAGTGCTCGGAATATCTAAATTAAGCAAAAGTATAATTTTAATATCTTTGTGTGTGTATATTTTTACAAATTTTATAATTTTTACTTATAACTTTATTATAAGATTTAATTTTTTTTAATTTTAGGCCTATTCATATCGAAAAAATATCAGCACATAATATTATAATATCTATGCAGCACAAAATATTACAACTACTTTGCAACAATGTTGCAATATTACAAATTACAACATTACGGAAACATTGTAGAAATATAAATTAATAAAGTGTGAATTAGATATTAATAATATGATATTCATATTTTGAAAACACTTTAAAACTATAACACTCTTTAATTTATCTATAAAAATAATGTATTAATACATTTTTTTATTATATATGCGATGAATTTTACTTTTTTGCAGAAGTCAAATGAATTATTGACACAAATAATATCGAGTAAATTAAAGTAATTCTAACCTACAGAGCCTTGTTATTTTTTCATTAAAATATAGATAACATTTTATATCAATGTTAAAATATATTTTATGATATATTTTGACTTCATGTACGAATACGATATTAATCTTCAAAAATAATATATCTTTTTATTATATTAAGAATATATATTATTATATCTATCATTATATTTTCCTATGCATTTTTCTGTATTTGTCACATGCAAATATATGTAATTATAACAAATTTTTTAAATTTTTAAATAAAAATGTAATTAGGAATGTATAATTAATTCTATAACTAATATATAAATGTGTATAAAATACCCATTATAAGAGTATACAGAACATTTAAAATAAAAAAAGTGATTCGTAAGTAATAGTTTAGAGCAATTTTGTATAAAAATATAACATTTTATTTTATATGATGTTATGTTTAAATATAATTTTGCAATATATTAGATATCATAAACTAATATTTATATCAAGCTTTTTAATTTAATTAAATGTTTCCAAGATATTCATATATCAAAAATATTTTATACGTTATGTTATTAAATGGTTGCAGTAACGTTACATTCTTTCCAATATATTACACTGTAATATTATTTCATTGCAAAAAGAGGATACTTTAACTTTATCACAAGCTTATAATAATAACTCAGCAAAGTTTCGCATTCGATTTGCAATATTGCAATGTTTCAATGAAATTATTCTTCAATATATCCGCAACCTTATCGTGCTGTATAGGTATTTTAATTTGCTTACCACGTTTGCTACCACGTGTTGAAAAAATAAATCTTTCATCAGCCGGCCATATAAAAGTTTCATCATATTCGAGATATCTCAATATCAAGCGAAACTTGTATAAAGTTCCCGATTGTAAATTTTTGACATAGTACATTACTTTATCTTTATAATTCGTTTTAAAATTCTTCATTGTTTGCCACTTTTCTGCTGCAATCTCTTTGTATTCCAGTATACAAAAGATCGTCAGATTAATGTTGGAGATCCATGAAATGATCATGCTATTTATGTCGACCTCGTCCAAAGTAATATTGTTTGGTTCTGAGGATATGTGAACGATCTTGCTTAAACTCTCGTTGTACAAATCGCTTGAATTAATTGGGTACACACGCACGTATATCAAGTAATCTTGTACTGGTAGCGACAAGTTAATCTTTGTGAAAAATCTGCCATCTACCATACGTTTCGGCATATTAATAAATTGTTTGCTCTTTTGTTGTATGCCGTTCACAAATATAACTGACGTCCAATGCACTTCGTAAGTCAGGTCCGCACAGTTTAATTTCTTGGGTGGCATCCAATGAACTACTGCTATAGTAGGCGTCAAAACTAAAACACTTATGTTTTCTGGTGCATTAAGCTTGCCCGAATTAATTTTTATTGGTATCACATTCGAATCGAATGGATTTATTGATAATTGATCAAAGTAAACATTTTTTAAAGTAAATTTCAACTTATAGTCTGTAAACGGTATTAAATTCTGAATCTCGTAATATTGCTCGCACGTCTGCACATTGAATTCTTCAGACTTGTTGAGATTTTTGTCTACACAATGCTGGCTTACAGAGATAGTATATATAGTAGTCGGTAAATTATATCTTTTGCATCCACTCTTTACAACCGGCTCCGGAAGATTTACAAAGATGCTGTTTGCCGTTGCAGACACATTCTCAAAATTGTAAACTTTTTCATAAGGTGTCAGACATCTCATTGATATAGCTGGAGAATATGGTTGTACAGATTTATCAAAAGCATAAATTTTATAAAACATTTGATATGATTTTTCTATTATTGTCTTTTCAACATATTCAGCTGCATTTACGCTCTTGAAACTTGCATATTTCTTTTTCAAAACGTACATATATGGAAACATGGCCTTATAATGTTTTCGAAATGGTAAAATGTAGATGTTTGTTTTGTCAATCGTCATAGATTTGAATAGGATGTTATCACGCATGTTTTCGTTGTGTAAAATTGTATTGCACATAGAAATGTCAATGTCTGTCACAAATATGTAATCATCACTTAACCAGTAAATTGACGGTTCCTTATTATTCATGTTATCAATTATCATATCTTTGAAAGTTCGAGCAGCATGATAAAGTTTTGAAGAGCAAAAAGATGCATTTATCGAAACAATTTGCTCGATTATTCCATCGTAATCAGTTTTTATTATTTTGAAATGGTTTCCCCATAATTGTATATAATATAAAATTCTAAAAAATATGTAATTATTTTATTCATTATAAAACATTATTCTAACAAAAACAGAAACTTGTATGTAGTAAAAATTCGAAATTCTTATAATAACATAATAACTTATTATATTTTTTACTTGTGATCTTAATTATAAAACCTCGTAAAATTATAGAAAAATTATAGTACAAATTTGCATAAATCTTTAATGGAAAATTATTTTTTCAGGTAGTAAACGTACCCCATAAACGGTGATACATTTAAATAATGGATTGGAATATCTTCTTTGAGAATCTCATTAAATTTAATTATGCCATTTTCCCACATTGTTAAGTCAAACTTTACAATATAATAGCCTGACCATTGATAGGTGAAATATAAATTTCTTGCTACCCAGTCAATGCAGAGATTATGTAGAGTATTAGGAAAGCTAGCAATTTTTGTGATATTATTTTCATTAATCTTCAATGTCAGTAGATCTTTTCCGTTACTCCAATAAATTCTATGTTCTTGTATCAAATAAGTGACATATCTTGCAAAAACAATGGATCTATATCTGAAAAGATTATAATTGTATGATAAAAAATTATAGTCGAGATTTCTAATTTTATAGTTATGCCTACTATAATGTTGATAATAATAAACTTGTGCATAATAATAATAACTTTAACTTTATAGTTAGTGTTAAAAAAAATTTATGATAATTAGAACTATTTTTTATTAGTATACGTACGCTTGCATTACGAAATTAGTAACGTTTAAATCCACGTCCAATATTTTCGTATCTAGATCCGTTATGAGTAATAATTTAGGTATTGGATTTTCATGTGTAGTCGACACATTGATTAAATCCGTGTAAGGACCAGCAACAATTTTAGTATGCGCACGTACTCGAAAATAATATGTCGTGTTAGATGATAGATTGTGCACCGTGTGCTCCAATTTTGTAGCTGTGATATTTTTATCGTCGCAGGTTTCTTTAAAGTCCTCGAAGAAAGAACACTGCACTTGGTACACTTGTATTATTTCATCGGCAAATTCTGGTTGGTTCCATCTGTAAAAACATAAAATTTTAGCAAAACGAAATAAAAAGGAAGGCTAAAAGAACGTGGCGCAAGATGTTAGAGCGTAAAAAAGTCGAAATAATAATAAAGACTCTAAGTAAGAGACATAATATATTAATAATCAGTCAGATATAAAAATATAAAAAATATGTCTGAAAAAATTGATTCGAGTGAACAGAAAATAATAAATACGTACGTTTCGATCTTATCAAGATCCGTTTCAATGTTCGAGATGTCATTAAAAAATAAATTAAAATTAAATTAAAATAAATTAAAATAATAAATTCAAATAATTTTGAGCCATTTTGTATTTTAACAAAATTATAACAGAATTATCATTTTGATATATTTATATCGTTGAATTTAAGAAAAAGAAAGAAAAATGAAAGACAACAAACTGAGAATTTAGATTTCTTACCTCAATGTCACAAAAATGTCGTTTACTTTTTCTGTAAATTGACTGTCATATTGTACAAATGCTCTGAGAGATGTTGGCTTGTCCAAACTGCTTTCTAAAGATTTTCAGATCGTACACATTAACACAGTTATATATAAGATTAAGTGGATTATCTCAGTAAATCAGAAAGAACAATTTAATGTGAAAATAAAGGAAAGAGAAAAAATAAATATAAATACAAAATATGGAAATTAGCACAGTATTGATCCTTAAAAAAATAATATAAGAATTTTTTGCGTCATTTAAGATTTAGAAAAGTAATCGTTAACTCATGGCAAAAACGAATAAATAACTTTTACTAAAATAATAAGTACTTTTCGAAAAATTCCTATAGCTTAAGAAGTGAGAAGTATAATATTTGCGACTGCTTTAAAAGAGAGTAACATATTAATAAAATTGATTTTATCTTAAATTATAACAATTTTTATGTACAATATTATGTTTATATTATGCTTTTCTGTTTCTTTTTAGGGCAGAATTAGAATTTATATTCTTTTCAATACTGGAAGATATTTTTAGATTTAATTTCCACTTTCTCTTGAATTTAAATTATATTTACACTTTTTCATCAGAGATTTTGTTATTAATGTTTTATGCATTTTTCTGCAACTTACCAATAGATTCTGGGATGATAGAAATATTTGCAAGTATCGCTTCATCGACTTCCCGCTCATTTCTTACAGTACTATCAGAATGACTCCGGTCAGATTTGATATTTAGTATATGATGATCACTTTTCTCGGACATTGAAATATTCTTGATAAAGTGTAACATACAAAAAGAATTAAGTGAATATCATTCAGGCGATTGTTTCTGGCTTTTAATGGTAAATTATATAATATATAAAATTAAACAAAAAATTGCCATTTGTTTTTGGTTTGCTTATAATACCGGTTTGACATATACCATTCCTAAATGACATAAATTGAATGTGATGTAGTTTTATTCATATTGTTACGTCCATATCCTGAAAAGATGGACTGTATGGAAGAACGTAACTTAGTAACTTACCCCGTGACACACTTTATTCGGGCGTGTGTATGGATCGGATCGAACAAATATGAAGGGCCTGACACAGGTTAGCGACCGAAGGTCTCTTTAACTCTGCGTTTTTACGCCTATTTGTTCGGTGGTCCCATTTCGATAAAGGAATTTAATCCTTGTTACGCGGGATAGGACCTAGTGCGATCTCGGGGTTTAGAGAAGAGAACGGGTTAAATAATTAAATTCTACATTAAATAATAAAAAAAGCATATATTATATAAAACAAAATATAAGGAAAGAAAAATACATCTTAGCAGTTGTAGTTATGCATGAGTGAGTATGTGTGCGTGAGTATATATTCTCGAGTATGTTAAAATTAAAATTTTCTAAATTCGGCGAAACACAGATCCAAATTAAAATACAATAATAAAATTAAGATAAAAGATTCGCCAAGTCTAAGTTTGAAAATTATTCATCTATTTCAATGATTTCTCCCAAAGTAGTGATAATACATAGGAAAATAATATAAAGGAGAAGAAAGAAAAAGAAAAAAAATAATAATAATGCAAGGAATGGGAAATTAAAAGAAAATGAAAGGGAGTAAAGAAAAATAGAAATGAAGAGTTAAATATGTATAAAGGAGGGCTTAAACGAAATATAAAGATAGAAAACAATACAAATTGTTGATAAATAAATCAAAAAAGGCAATTAAAAGGAATTGAAAATCAAGGAATTGTTCATGAATCGCCTTGCGGAGATTCTCAACGAACAAGGAAATGTTCGTGAATCGCCTTGCGGAGATTCTCAACGAACAAGGAAATGTTCGTGAATCGCCTTGCGGAGATTCTCGACGAACAGGTAAATTATTCGCGAACCGCCTTGCGGAGATTCTAGGCGAATTAGTAAGAACTAGGAATAAGACTGGAGAAAAGGTGAGACAAGGATTGATAGTAATTAGTAAAAATTTAATGATTATTAATTGTTTAAAATTATTAGTCAGACATAGATTTTTAAATTATGAGATAGTAAGATATGGGAAAGGGAGAAAATAGAAATTATTCAAATTTACTCACAACTCGTCGGGATCATAAAAATAAGTGCGTTGATAAACTTGCAATGGCTGAAGTCGGAGGTTTATAACATGAAGAGCCGAGTAGTGGGGATGCTCATCAGAAATTTCACATGATGCACAATTAAATGTTAACAAAATCATTTTCACTGTGATATAAAACAAATTAATAACTTAATTGCATAATGCAAGAAAAGGATCCCCGAGGCTATATAATGTTAAAATTGAATGGCTGAATCTTGACTGGAGCTGTTAACTGTACTGCTTATAGTGCTAGTTAGTACTTATTAGTGAACGCTTAGTAAACTAGATAGGAAGTGAACTAATGAACTAGAGAACTTAATGAACTAATGAACTAGAGACCAAGAGAGTGCTCGCGCCTTGCGCTTGCATTTTTTAAGGTAGTTGCTCCTCCTCCTTACTGGATGGTGGGAATCTTTAAAAATCGAATCAAATGATTTCTATTACTCCCTTCTTAGGGCCAAGGAGTTAGATTTTCAATAAGAGAGGAGTGTCTTAAGATTCTAATTGGTTAAGCCCTTTTGCTCGAGATTTAGCTCCATCCAGTAGAGAGTGGGAGCGAAGAGCTGATTATCTTATCGCTTGATGATTGAGAATGCCCTGTCGAACGAACGCACGTGCAATATTAATTTATGTTTACCTGTGGTCAATTTTTCGAGGACCACAGGCTCTTTGTTTAAAATCTCTAAGATAAATCAAGTTATAACCATGGATACGAGTGGTTCGAATTTCATATACTTCCGAGTCTCATAACTCAAAAGTTTATTTAAAGTTTCTTTAGCGCTATCTCGACTGGCCATTCTCAATATTAGGTTTATGATTATAATAAAATAAACAAAGTTAAAGGCTCCTCTAAATTAACAAATCAAAATTAATATCGAAAGGCAGTTAAGAGCCAACGCAACTTCGATTGTTAGCGTGTCGATTATTTCGTGTCGTTTCTGCTGGTCCGTCTCTTGTCCGATGCATCGCTCTTCGCGCTTTGTACCGTTGAGAGGGCTTTTTGCATCGTACGTTCTCGGATGGATCAGCCTTGACGAAGTCGCGTCACTTCTATAGACCATGCATGCTCGTGACTATGCTTTCTCCTTTCTTTTGTATTTTATTGATACTGCGTTTTTATTCTGTCTCATTTGATTTATTTATTTTTTCTTTGTTTGTATTAGAATCACTGAAGAAGGCTCGAATCGAGTCCGAAACGTTTGGAATAAAGCGAATGGATCGTTAAAATCGAGTCGCTGTTTGGAAATTATTTTATCCACGCCCTACAACTGCGTTGGCTCTTAACTGCCTTTCGATATTAATTTTGATTTGTTAAATGATTATATACGCGGGTTAGGTTCCGTTTTTCTATGTGCTATCATTATTCGAACAAGGATTATTTTGTGCTTCAAATGCAAACCGATCCTTGATTTTTCTTTCACGGTATCATTTTGAAGAAAGAAAAGAATCGTGGAGTCCACCGGACGTAACAATATCATAAAATCTATTTTTTATTTATTTTTTTAAGGCATCTTGTATATCAAACATAACTCATGTCAAAAAAAAATCAATCAATAGGATAACGAGAGTCAATGAGGATTCATAACAGCTTTTATCAAGTACAAGTGAAAGTGTAGCTCTTTGCAATTATTAAAACAATTTTGTCTCACGATTTGATTCTTTCTCACGATAGCTTGGTTAACTCTATTCAATTATACCGTAACTCATATTTCTTTTTAAAAATTTGCCGACATTACTAAAGTTTTATTAATGTTTGTACTTCAAGAATAAAAAGATTAAAAATATTGTTTCTTTACAGTTATTAAATATTAGTCATAGAATTATATAAATTCTTTTATTTATTACCTTGTCAAGTTTTTTCCCGAATTCTTTCGAATGTTTGTTATATTTTTAACACAAACAAATTCACCAAACAATAAATATAAACCGATAGTATAAACCGATAATGTCTCGATAAGAATATGTGTATACAGGGTGTCCCATTTTAATGCCCCACCCCAAATAATTTTCTTATTTTTAATTTTAGAAAAAGATGTTTCAGACAAAAGTTGTATGGTTTCGAGGGGGACATAAGATGGTACCATTAATTTGATCTTGAAGAGTCACATGAAGGTTACGTGAAGATCATTTTCAATTTCTTAAATGGAACACCCTATATATTTTTGCATATTCTTGTAGCTTATCTCGAGAGCTTTCCAAAACACTATAAATAAACATTTTTTCATCAAGTACGTTTCGAGTAATGAGGCTTGAAATCATTTCTTAATTTTACATAAACCATAAAATATCTTGTAAAATATTCATTTTTTGATTATCTTACCTTAATACTTTTATGTACAAAATAATGAGAGAAATCCATTGGTGCAAAGAAAACATACAGTTGTTTTTAAGAAAAAATATGGAATTGTTAATTGCAAATTACATATTTTTTTCTTAAAAACAACTGTATGTTTTCTTTGCACCAATGGATTTCTCTCATTATTTTGTACATAAAAGTATTAAGGTAAGATAATCAAAAAATGAATATTTTACAAGATATTTTATGGTTTATGTAAAATTAAGAAATGATTTCAAGCCTCATTACTCGAAACGTACTTGATGAAAAAATGTTTATTTATAGTGTTTTGGAAAGCTCTCGAGATAAGCTACAAGAATATGCAAAAATATATAGGGTGTTCCATTTAAGAAATTGAAAATGATCTTCACATAACCTTCATGTGACTCTTCAAGATCAAATTAATGGTACCATCTTATGTCCCCCTCGAAACCATACAACTTTTGTCTGAAACATCTTTTTCTAAAATTAAAAATAAGAAAGTTATTTGGGGTGGAGCATTAAAATGGGACACCCTGTATAATTGTATATAAATGGATATATGTGCAATGAAAATTAATATAAATTCTAGCGATAGTTGTTGAATATATTGTCGATCGAAATATTAGCGTTGATAGATACAACTTGAAGAATGTTTGATGAATGATTTTTTTATCAGACAAATTTTCTATCTCGATATTTAGTAGCTCCCGTTATATAATTTTTCTAAACACAAAGAAATGATGCTAACTTTCTAAATTAATTTTATAAAATAAAATTTACATTAATATAAAGCTTTCTTTACATCAATAAATATTATATATATATATATATATATATATATATATATATATATATAAGAAAATAAAGAAATTTTAAAAATTGAAGAAAAACAACATAAAAATCTGTTGAAGTGTCATCGTATGTATATATTAATGTAGCAGATAGTAGACACACTTCATTTATTTTAATAATTGTTATTTTTAGAAATAATTATTTTATATATATATATAAATATATATATATATATATATATATATATATATACTTTATCCATCTTTTTTTACAACATCGTACATACTTTTTTTTTCATATTGAATTATTTTATTTTATCTTATCTTATTATATGTAGAATATATAATTTATTTTCATTCATGTTTAGTTACACTACTAACTGCAATAACATTTAATTGTTTCTTAATCAAACGAAAATATCTTTTACCTGCGTAAAATTTAACTCCGGACGCATGGAAACATTTTCTTGTTGGAGGATATTTGAAGTGGTAAAATCCTTCAGTGTGATAGTTGCCTTTGTCAATACTAAATCTTTCAATAAAACACAGAAAATTGTTCCAAACATGATTTGCATTTTTCGTAAACGTTTGCACTCAATCAGTTCCTGTTGAATTCTCAGTTAATTGTTTTTCTCACTCTACTAATTCTGATGTGTTAATCAAATTGACATTAATTCATATATATAAATTTATTTTCAATAAATTCTTTAAAACTCAGTTTTAACGAATTGTAAGTTATTATCTTCTAATATTATGTTTTTAGATTTCTAGATTAGATAGACATATTATGTTTTTAGATCTTAGTTTTTCTCTTTATGGTCGCGATTACAATATATATCTAGCAAACAAAGGAATATAATTATTATCAGCTTTTTTTTATTAATATTAAAGTAAAAAAACGTCGATAAAAAAATAACCACAATCAAATTATAAACGATCAGAGAAGTTATAGAATTATAGATCTTGTAACATTTTCAGCCACATATCATTTCAAGCACACGCAGCGTGTAATCGAATTCACTTGAATATTTATTACATCTAAGGTTTTATTAAATATATAATTATGACAATTCGTTCGTACGATTGTGTTATTATATACAATTGTGTTACTACGTATGCTTTTTAACATCCACTATTCGTACACAATTTTTTGTGATATTCATATGATGCAGTTTGAATCAAACGATAAGTAACGCGGTAATGCGTTTTATCTAGCGTCATAATAGTAACTGACTTTGAATGATCAATCATGTGGTGCAATGACGTTTTATTAGCGGCTTCCGTTGTAATTTATTTTTCTCCACGGAGATACTCGCGTTATTTCAAAGAGAAAATCTATAAAATCTATAAAAATTATTTGACAAAAAAGATATATACAGGGTGTTCTAGACCATCCGTAACTCCTTTTCTTTCAAAAACTAAACATTTTAGAGAAAAACGTTTTCAACAACAAATTGTATGGTTTTGAGGGGAACATAAGATGGTGTCATTGGTTTGATCTTGGATGGCATCGTTAATTTCAGGTCAAAATACCTTTAATTTCTTAAAATGGAACCACCTATTTTTTATTGCATATTCTTATAGCTTATGTCGAGAGCTTTTCCAAAATACTATAATAAAGTGTTTTTTCATCAAGTAACTTTTCGACGTATAAAGCTTGAAATCATTTCTTAATTTTACATAAACCATAAAATAATCATGTAAAATATTCATGTTTCGATTATCTTACCTTAATACTTTTAAGTACAAAATAATGAGAGGAATCAATTAGTGTAAAGAAAACACATAGTTATTTTCTAAGAAAATATGTAATTGCAATTAACAATTCCATATTTTTTCTTAAAACAACTGTATGTTATAATTGATGCTGTTCAAGAGGTTGTTATAACAAATTCTCATATAAGCACAAGAGCAGCCGCGCAGATTTAAACATGAATCAGGTTACTTCATAAAATTATTAAATATTCCCTGTGTTTACATCCATTTAAATGACATACAACATACGATCTCATACCTGGTGATATGCTACGACGAATAAATTTTTGTGAATGGGTTATTGAACACGTAAGTATATTTATATTAGTATAGTTATATTTAAAAATTTATTTTCTATTTTTTTGTTGCAACATATCAAACGTTTTATGTCGATTGATATCAGTCGTCAACTTTATACTAATAATTTATAATCGATTTACGCAGGTGAATTTCAATGTCGGAAACGATATATTTTTGAAAAATATTCTCTGGAGTGACGAGGCAATTTTTAAAAGTGACGGATGCAAAAACAGACATAATGAGCATCATTATGCGCAGCATAATCCACATTGTATGAAGGAAGTAAACATTCAAGGCAGATGGGCTATAAATGTGTGGCTAGGAATAGTAGGGGATCACATTATCGTTCCCGAATTTATTCAAGGCAATGCAGATTATTATGCAAATTTTTTATTCCATCGCTTAAACACCTTGAAGATGTGCACTAGTTAACAGGAGGGAAATAATATTTTAACAAGACGGACATGGCGTCACACTTTTTTTTGGCAAGAACCATTATAAATCAAAAATTCTGGAAGATGGATCGGACTTCATGGTTCAGGAATGCCACCACGCTCTCCGGATCTCACACCCATGGACTTTTCATGTGGGCTTTCTTAAAAAATAAAGTTTACTACCCTGCCGGAAAATGCAGAAATTCTTAAAAACAGTATTCGTAATGCGTGTGCATAGATCACTCCTCTCATGCTAAGACGAGTGAGAGAAAATTTCATGCGCAGAATTACTCTATGTTTAGAAGAAAATGGTGGTTATATTGAACAATTATTATAATTATATTTATTATATATTTAAAGACCAAAAATATTTTTCATTATAATTTCATTATTATTTTTCATTTTTATTATTAATTAATTTTTTGTTTAAATTTATTTTGTTAAATTTTATTTACATTATTAAAATATGTAATTATTAATATATATATTAAATATTATAATTAAATAAGTGTAATAATCTAAATTAATAATATGTTATAACCTATATTAAATAACAAATAAACTATGTGGAGGACACACATTCCCTATATATTATTTTCTCTATATATTATTAAATGTATTGTATCTATATTATTAAATTTTTATATATATTATATATTATTATATATTATTTATTATTATATATTATTATATATTATTATAATCTATATTATTAAATATATTTTATCTATATTATTAAATTCGCAACTGTTCACTATAACAGAATGATAAAAGTTGATTTCCTTTTCT